TTCTCCGCATAACTGCAACTGATCTATATCCCGCTGTATCCTTTGACAGCATTCTACACCATCCACAACTCCCCCAATCTTTGTGTTATCTGCAAACTTACTAACCCATACATCTGAGTTTTCATCCGCGTCATTTATATATATCACAAACAGCAGAAGTCCCAGTACAGATCCCTGTGGAACACCACTAATCACAGACCTGCAGCCAGAAAAACAGCCTTCCACCACTACTCTCTGCCTTCTTTGGGCAAGCCAATTCTGAATCCAAGTAGCCAAGTCACCATGGATCCCATGCATCTTAATCTTCTGGATGAGCAAACCATGAGGAATCTTGTTGAAAGCCTTAATAAAATCCATGTGGACAACATCCATTGCTCTACCCTTATTGATCACCTTTGATATACAGAGGATCATTTTGCAAATGTTTTCCAATTATGGAATCATGATTCAGAGGCCACTTGCCAATCAATCAGCACTCTCCTTTCATTCAGTATAAATATAGTTTTCCATTTACCTTGGCAAGTCTTGCAGATTGTCCTTATGAGTGCAAGATGAAAAGCCTCAACACAATATTTATTTTTTTTCAGCAAAGCTTAAGTTCTAAAAGAGTGAATCAGTTGTAAATTCATTGTTGTTACTGCTAATGGATACTATTGATTTTTGGAGCTAGCCATATGGATTATTATTGTTCCTGTCCTTACCTGAATTCATCTTAAACGTTGTGATTGAATTAGTTTAAAAATTGCGGTCGTGTGTTCCCTGTTTTAATAATTCATTTTGTGTAAAAGAATCTTCTAAAATTTCTTTGTAAGAATGTTGCTGCGACGTTCACTAGGAGCTTGGAATAGTTCTTTGTTGCAATGCATTTTACTGCTGTGCATCAATTAGATTGAGGATAATGGGGAAATCAGAGTAGAGATGCTGTCAAGGGGCAATGGGATGAGATTAACGTTTTGAGTTGTTTGCATCACACTTTATTCATTTGTTGTTGGAATGTGGCCAACACTGCCCTTGCATCAATTATTGTTCATCTCTGGATGCTCTGAGTGTGTCATCAGGCAGCACTTATTCAACAATAACTGGCTTGCCTTTGCTCAGGTTCTGCTCTGTCAGGGCTCCTGACCCCGTCACAGCCTATGACTAAATATGGACAAAAGAGCTGAATTCAAGAGATGACGTGAGAGTGATCACCCTTGACATTGATGAAACATTTGACTGACAATGTATCTTCATGGAAGCAGGCCTTTCAGCCCATTGGGTCCCCACTGACTGTCTGAAGAGCATCCTACCCATACCCACCTCCCTACCCTATCCCTGTAACCCTGCATTTCCCAAGGCTACCCCACCCAGCCTGCACATCTTGGGACATTATGGGCAATTTAGCATGGCCAATTCACCTAACCGGCACATTTTTGGACAGTGGGCAGAAAGCCACACAGACACGGGGAGAATGTGCAAACTCCACACAGAGGATCACCCAAGGGTGCAATTGAACCAAGGTCCCTGGTGCTCTGAGGCAGCAGTGGTAACCACTGAGCCACCGTGCTGCACCTCATCAAGGAGCCCTGGTGAAATTCACATCAATGGGAAGTCGGGTAAAACTCTCCACTGGTTGGAATCACACAGAACACAAAGGATGGTGGCTATTGGAGGTCAATCATCTTATTTCCAGGACATCACTGCGGGAGCTGCTCGTCGTAGTAAACTAGGCCCAACTGTCTTAATTTAAAGATTCACATCCTTGTTTTCAAATCCCTCCATGGCCTTTCACCTCCCTGAATCTGCAATCTGCTCCATCCCTCAATCTTAGCAGGTCAGAGGCTGGGAATCCTGCAGCAAGTAACTTGTCAGCTGTTTTGCCAATGCTCTTCCCTCTGACATATGGTCAGAATCATGACTAGAGTAGTTCACAATTAACCTTCACTCCCAACACCAACCTTCATGGGGCTCAACAGCATGGCTAGTCTGTTGCTGATCTCTCCCAAACGTTTGGGGCATTTTTGGTGATGAATGCATTTAAAAGGATTCAATTATTCCTCAGTGAAAGATGCTGATCTCCTACAATATATCTGCAATACAGAATCATTTCTCCCAGGTTACTGCAGTAAAAGGGCTGTGCCTACCTATACTTGACCTGTGTTCTGACTTCTTGTATTGAGGAAATGCACAGCACAATGAAGTAAATGTGACTGATACCCAATGATGTTGGGTACCATTTCCAGAATTTATATTGGTTGTTTTGTCATTCAGATTAACTCCGAACAGGAAAAATAAGGCACATCAAGCCAGACTATTGGAAAACAGAAACTTTAATCTGAACATCACCTAATGATGACTAGGGCTGGAAAATAAGTTTTCCATTGTTCCTGGACTTCCTGCTGACTGCCTACAGATTATGAACCCACTCTTTCCCCCCACTAACTCCCTAGGGTAGTTACTCTGCTCCAGCCTTGGTAAATGGGGAAGAGCAGTGGATGTGGAGCACGTGGACTTAAGGAAAGTACTTGTCATGAGTAATTACCAGAGAAGATTTAGGGAGGGAGGAAGGAGGTGCAGTAATAGCATAGATATTGTGAGAGAAACAGCAAGTCAGGCAAATGGACTAATAATCCAAAGTCATCTGTTCGAATCTCTGCCCTTAATATAAAACTCTCCCTTTTTGTCCCTCAATACAGAGTTCCCCCTCCCTCAGTACTTAGTTCCTTCTCTGCCTCCCTCAATAGAGCGTCTTCTCCCTCGATACATTCCCCCCCACTCTTGATACAGTTCGCCCCTTCTGTCTCCTCGATACAGTTCACCCCCTCTCTCTCCTTGATACAGTTCCCCCTCTCTCTCCCCTCAGTACAGTTCCATCTCTCTCTTCTCGATACAATTCCCCCTCTCTCGCCCCTTGATAGTTTCCCCTCTCTCTCCTTGATACGGTTTCCCCCTCTCTCTTTCTCCCTCGATACAGTTTCCTCTCTCTCTCCCTCAATCGAGTTTCCTATCTCTCAATACAGTGCTCCTCATTCTCCAACTCTTTAACAATGATGTGCTAACGTGTTGTTTTGTCTAAATATAAAATGATGTCTATCCCTTTTCTTTTACAGTATAGATTAAGCTGCTTCAGCACAAAGTAACCATCCTGGTGTTATTGCCTCAATCAGTCACCAAACCTGTTTCCACTCTACCCCAGCCACATCCAGAAAATCACCTACAATCATTTCTCTTCCTCCCTCTGCTCAATTATCTCTTGTGTCCTCCAAAGATCTCTCTTTGTTCTCTTTCATCCGAAAACATAATGAAAATTCTCATATCTACTCTGATGATACCCAGCTCCACCTCACCAATATCTCTTTTGACCCTTCCACTATATTCAATTCTTTGTCAGCGTTCAATGGACACATTGATTGTAAAACATTTCCTCCAAATAGTATTGGGAAGATCTACGATGTTGCCATGAAATCTCCTCCCTCTCCCTGACAGCTATCTGAGGCTGTGCCATGTTGGTTACAGGCTCGGATTTCTGTTTAGATTTGACTCCATACCTTCTCCATCTCCAGATCACCTACTGTACAGTTATTTCTGGTAATCACAGGAGATGCTCCTTAAAGAAGCCACCTAGCTACCTGCCCAGCAAATGCAGATGACTCTGTCCTTTCCTCAATTTATCTCTGGTTGAAGTCTCCATCCATGTTATTGCTACAAACAGACTCAACTGTTCCAGCCCACCATCACGGCCATACTTCCAGCATCCTCCAGAAACCTTAACTCCTCCAAAACACTGCCAACTATATCCAAACTCATACCAAGTCTCATTCTTCCATCACTGCTTAGTTCCTTCGCTTTCAGTGCTTTCTCGTCCAGAAGTGCTTCGATTTTAAAATCCATATGCCTTACAAATGGCTCCAAAGCCTTTCTCCAGCACACTGCAAGATCTCTGTGGCCCCTCCAACTGTTGCCTCTTACACATCCCCTGATTTTCAGCCATGGCTTTAAGTTCTGGATTTCCCTCCATAACCTTCCTCCCCTTCCTTTTAGATGGTCCTTAAAGATGCTACCTTGTTACCTTCTCAAACGTGCCTTGGTGTCAAATTTTGTTTGATAATACTCCTGTGGAATTCTTTGGGAGGTCTTGCTGATTATTACTGCAAAAAGGGACATTTTTCAAAGCTTTTCCATTGGATAATTAGCAAGAATCCCCATGTTATATCATGTGAAAAGAGAGTGCTAGTTGGTTGAGAAGTAGGAAGGAACAAGAATAGACCATTTAGCCCATCAAGCCTTCTCTGCCATTCAATACGATAAAGGCTGATTGAACACGTCAATGTCTTTTAATCACTCCATCCCTATAACCCTGCACACCACTGGTAATCAGAAATCAATCAATCTCTACCTTAAACCTTCCAAAAGTTCACAATCCTCTTGAGTAAAAAAAATTCTCCTCATCTCATATCTAGGTGGCATTCCCCTTATTTTTAATTTGTATCCATACAATTTAGACACCCCAACCAGGGGAAATATCTTTCTTGCATCTAACCTGTCTGTACCTTTAAGTATTTTGTAAGTTTCCATGAGATCACCTCTCATTTTTCAAAACTAGTGAGGATACAGGCCCAGTTTTCCCAATTCTCTTCATAGGACAGTCTCTAGAAATTTTAATAACTATTTATGCTGTGAAAGGATGTAGGTGCCTGAAAGTGCTAATGCTGAGGACTGCCTTATGCACCCCTCACTATGACGCTATCATATAGACTTGGTGGGAGAACAGCTTAGGACCTGTTGCCCAGGTCATAGGTGTCTCTCATATCAGTGTTGGAGACACAAGCCGCTTCTCGTTAGAATACCGAGTGGTTTTCCTGTACCACACCAGACCATATGAGCTCTGTAAGTCTCAGAGTGTGGTGGCAATGAACCTAGCCAATGATGAGCAATGGTGCAGGCAGTCTCAGGCAGTGAGATGATCAGTGGCGAGGATTGCTCCCCCAGTTTACAGAATGCTTCTTATTCTCCTGAAACAGGTCTCCAGTGAACACGCTGAGCCTCTGCCAGTCACACAGCCAGTTCAAACCACACAGCAGACACAGACGCCAATACAGACAACGGTACAGACACCACTGCAGACCCTATCGCAAACACCAACTCAGACAAGTTGCCTGGGGAGAGGTAAAATGGCAAAATATTTGACACCAGATGAAATGACATCTAAAGATTACTACTTTGATTCCTACGCTCATTTTGGCATTCATGAGGTAAGTTTTGATCTCGGCCTGTATTGATGGAGGATTTCAGTTCCTGATTCAGATGATCATTGTACAATATTTATAAAGGTCATCCACTATACCAACTCATACACATATTTTCTGCCATTTGCTTCATAACATGGGCAACATGAATTATTTTAATTTGGTGGAGAGGTGAAATGTAATTTCGACGCAGAACATGTCACTGTTAACCATTTGGAAATGGAGCTTGCAATCCAAATTTGAACTTTAGCGGAGAATGCTAAAACCATCAGAAATGGGGCAGCTGTGAAAATGATATTGCTGTCTCCTGGGTGATCAATCCTGCACGACTAACCATCTAACATCCCTAACCAGCCTGGTGACCCCAGCCAGCACGATATCCCTAACCAGCACAATGACCCTAACCAGCCTGGTGTCACTAACCAGTGCAACAACTTTAATCAGTCCAACACCTCTAAACAGCCTGTTCTCTCTAACTAGCACAACATAACTAACCAGCGCATGTTCCTAATCAGTCCAACATCC